CGGCCGTGCGTTCCAGGCTTCCACAACAAGACAGCATTAGAGCGTGTGCATGTCAGAGTCGTGCTCCGTTTCAGAAGCTCAGGTTCGAGTCTCAGTGGAGGCTGATACGACGGTTTCACTGCCCCATCGTGACGACGTAACAAAATAATAAAAATTAAATGACGCGAGCAAGTTATCAAGCGGTTTCAGCATGGCAGTGGTCACCTGGCGACGGTGGGCTTTCTTTTCCTTATCTGTAGTGGCGACAACCATCAGGTGTCGTTTTTGTAAAGCATTCCCACAGTCCCCGCCTGACCAAGCCCAGCCTTGTCTCCTGGGCTGCCCCTTGCCCAAGAAGTCAGCTCCTGCGCTTGTCAAGTTCTCTAGGATGCCGGCCCCCCTGGGGTTCACCTGGGCGCACATAGTTCCGATTGTTTTTGACATCTGGGGGGCTTAATGCCAGGGCTGTGCTCTGGGGGGAGGGTGGACCCCGGGGCCAGACAGCCCCGCCTGCCCCGGCTCCTGCTGCGGCCTCTGCAGGCGAGAGTCAGCCAGGTGGGGGCGGCTGCAGAGGACCCGCCAGTTCTGAGGATCGCGGTCTATTTTCCTCTCTCCTCCCACACCCAGAGAGCTAAAAGAAAAGTCAGGTGAAGGTGGGGGAGCGGCTTCTAGACCAGTTTCCAGAGGGCATGGAGTCTGGGGTGGGCTTCGGAGGAAGCCATGAAGGGGAGCGGGGCCCAGTACGGCCCCGCAGCCCCCACCCAAGCCGCCTCTCCGGCCTCCTGCCTGTGGCAAGGTCGGGAGCATCAGAGAGACCGGTGCCGGCCTCGCGGTGCTGCGGACACTCTGCAGCCGGAAGCCGGCTCATTAACTGGGGCCTGTGTGCCCACCTGTAAGACGGGCACAGTGACTTGCTCTGCGGAAGCGCCACGAGGATTAAATGAGATTATGTAAAAATTATGCAATAGCAGCTGGACAATCGTCCTTCCCTCAGCCTGTTTACTGATTTCTGCCGGTGCTGCCCCCCTTTTCCATCTTATTCTCCGTCGGCCCCAGCCTCCCTCTCCTCCTCCAGGACGGCCCGTGGTCTGGCTCACATCTCTGCTCTTCCAGGTGGCTCAGCTCGTCCCGTGTGCTCGCCCGGGGGTTGTTATGTGACCTCTCTGGGCTCACCTACCCTCTTCTGTAAAATGGGCACAGTAAGGAGGACCCATCTAGAGTGGTCACTGTGGACTTTAAATAAATGCACGTACAGTCACCAGAAATGTGCCCGGTGCTCATCAGTGTGTGTGTTTATAATGTGCCTCATCCTTTTTTTTTTTTGCCATTTTTGTCTGTGTCTGAGTCTCCCCACCGCTAACTCTTCCATTTCTTTAGAACCACATTGTACTTTCCCCTCTTACACCTGGAAGAGGCCTCTTTGCAATATATTTATCAAATTAGCTTAAAAAAAAAAGAGTCCCGGGGAGACATCCAGTTCTGCTCTCTTGCAGACAAAAGCACTTCTGCACACCCCCTGCAGGCGCGGCCCGCTCCCTGATGGGGGCTCTCAGGATGGGGACACGGTGTGAAAACAGATGACCTTTGCCCACGGCCCTGGGCATTAGCGTTTGAGCGGAACCGTGACTTCATCGCCAGAGCACACGAGAGGCCGGAGGACACACGCAGGGCTTTGCACACTCACTCACGGGTAACGATGGGCAGCCTCTGGACGCTGGGCCCATGGCCAGGCACGGAGAACTTGGTCTCCTCGGCATGAGCTCACGCAGAGAGCTGATCTTCAATTCTTGTGCCTACGTCTGATGTCCTTAATCAGTTGGTGAACACTTCGAGGGCACGGGCCAGGGCAAGTCATGGTTCGGGTGACACCTTGCTGGACTCGGAGCATGTTGAAATCCATGTGGTCATTCACTCAGTCAACAGACATTCCTCTGGGCCTCTGCCCTGTGCCCAGGGCGCCGTGTGCCGCTTCTCACGAGCGGATGCACAAGATGGGCACTTCCCTGAGCTCACCTCTTGACTGCGGAACCCACGTGCCACGAGTCGGATCCCGTGAGGCTGGTAGGCTGTGCGAAGTTCGGGTTTTCTCCTCAGGGATATGGGCACCGTGGGAGGGCTTTAAGCAGGGAAGAGACCTGCTTGGACAACTCACACTGGCGCTGTGCAGAGAGGGGACCCAGGGTGACCTCGCGGAGGCAGGCAGAGAGAGCTGTGGGCACGGAGCAAGTGGAAGGACGTGGTGCATGTCTTCGAACTGGGCTTCAACAGCAGCACCGCATGTTTGGGGCTGGATTACCCTTTGCTGCGGGGCCGTCCTGTGCACTGTAGGATGTGCAGCAGCGTCCCTGGCCTTTACCTTCAAAACGCCCGTAATACCTCTCTCCAGTGTGCCAGCAGAGTGTCTCTAGACACTGCCAGTGTCCCCCGAGGGGCGAAGTCACACCCTCCCCATTGGGAGCCATGGCTTATGGGCTGACCCAACAGGACTTGCTGATGGACTGTATGTGCGTGGGCAGGGGTGGGCATGGGACAGTGAGGCCGGTACTGGACCAGGACCGCCTTTGGGCTTCCACTCCGGGTTGTACACGATACCACCCTGTGTTTGCAATCACAGCCCAACACGGTACCTGATGTTGAAGGCAAACTGCTAAGGGGGCGAGCAACTACCCCGCAGACAAATGTGGGGCGGCTGATCTGCTGCCCCCCTCTGCGAACACCAAATTCCTAGCCACAGACACCCATCTTCAGTCTGCTGGGGTCCCCACACACTCCACTCGGCCCTGTTCCCAGCCCCTGAGGTTGGCTGAGTAATTACCTGCACACCAGGAGTCCCCCAACGAGCTGACGGGAAAGAGGGAAACCCCAAGGCCATTCTCTCGCTGTGGCCGGGCCGCTGGTGGGTCTTAGCGGGAACAGGGCCTGTTTCCTGCCCTGTAAGGGGCACTAACCCTCCTGCACGGGAGGCTCTGTTCTAACGCTCAGGTTCCGCTCTCGTCCTCGCCATGACCCCAGGGGCACCACCATCATCTCCTGGGGGTCGCGACCCCTTTGGGGGTCGAACGACCCTTTCACAGGGGTCGCCTAAGACATAACAGTAGCAAAATTGCAGTTATGAAGTAGCAATGAAAATAATTTTATGGTTGGGGGTCACTGCAACATGAGGAGCTGTACTAAAGGGTCGCGGCCGCAGGAAGGTTGAGAACCGCTGTTTTACAGACAAGGAGGCTGAGGCAGAGAGGCACCAACAACTCACTCCCGCCCAAACGTGGAGGAAGCAGGCAGGGCAGCTTCTGTGTTGCTCTTGGCTGCCGCCTCGCTGCCTCCTGGAGACGGAGGAGGGACGCGGGGGGTGGGTGGGAGGCTGCTCATGGGTGCTGCTGGACTGGCAGGAGGCGGGCGTGAGTGCCAGGCCCACAGCGAGGACCTGGGCCGGACGAGTGTGCAGCGGGCGCTGGGCCCACGCTTGGCTGAATGGCCTCCTGAGTGGAGGCGGCCACGGTTGGGCTGCAGTCCAGCCAGAGGCCCCCGTGTCGTATTAGATGTGTGGGGCAGAGGAAGGGACAGGCCCCCAGGACAGCGGGGAGCTGCAACCCTGAGGCCGGTGGCTTATCAGGTCCTGATGGGGCTGCCTGTGTACCTCCCGGTGCTCGGGTCCTCCCCTTGGCCTCCGCGGGGCCAGGAGGACCAGCCACGTTTGACCTCGCTGGAGTCGCCGGCACGGGTGACCGAGCTGGGGGGCTGGCAGCACCCGGAGGAGAGGAAATGCAGCACGGCCAGGTGTGGGCGCATGCTGGGGAGGGGCAGGATGGGGGCTCCGGGTGGGGGACACGAGGGGAGAGAGCAGTCCCCCAAAAGGAGTCGAAGAAGCAAGCCAGGGCGAGCTCGGTCAAGGCTGACTCCTGGCTTTCAGCTGTGCTGCTTTGTGGTTGGTTTTCGATTCTTCTTGAGGCTATTCCCTCAAGAGTGCTGTTTTCAGAAACTGGGTATGTTGGCTGTTCCCCACCTGTTGCATCCCCCATGTTTGCACCCATGAGTAAGAACAGGACGAGGGGCTGCTGAAACGGAACACGGCGAGGCCCCAGTGCCGAGTCACAGTGCAGCCAACAGGACGTGTGAGAGACGCCGACCTCTGGAGGGCAGTGCCCAAGGTCTGAGCTGAATTCCTTCTGGAACCCTCCAGCCACAGGAAGGGCAGCCCATCCTCGGACAACGTCCTCAGCCGCTGCAGTTGGGGGTGCAAGAGCGTCAGCTCCACACAGGCAGGGCCATGCCGGTGCTCCCCCCGCCGTGTCCCCAGCGCCTGGCACAGCGGCTGCTCCCTGAGGGCCGGTGAATGCATGAATGAATGAATGAATGAATAGCCTAACATGACTTTATCCCAGTAACCGCTTTGGTTTCCATGGAAAGCACAAAGTATTTTCAGGAAAAAAAAAGTGGTAGGGGGTAGGGGGAAGTAGAAGAGGGTAAAGGAGGAATAAACGGTGGGGGAGGGAGACTTGACTTGGGTGGGGAACACAGATGATGTTATAGAGTCGTACACCTGAAACCCATATACTTTTTTTAACCCATGTCACTCCAATAAAGTCAATAAAAAATAAATAAAAATTAACCAAATTGTATACACTAAAAAAAACAAAACAAAAACAAAAAAGGTGAACTTAGCCGTGGCCAGGCGGCTTGGTTGGCGGAGCCTCGTGCAGCACACGGGAGGATTGCAGACTGGTTCCCGGGCAGGGCACACACCGGGTTGTAGGCTCAACCCGTGGCCCAGGTGTGTTTGGGAGGCAACTGATCAATGTTTCTCTCACACCGATGTTTCTCTCTCTCCCTCTCCTGCTTCCTCTCTTTCTAAAATCAATAAAAACATATCCTCAGGTGAGGATTTAAAAAAAAAAAAAGTGAACTTGTGTGTGTGCAGAAATGTGTCCAGACTCAAATTCTAGAAGATAAAACACCTGAGAAAAACTGGGACGCCACCAATTATGCAAATGAGGCCAAGTACACTAAGGAATGATCACTATCTTTATTCATACACACTTAATTAATGTCTCTAACAAAGCATATCATGCAAACAAAGATTAGAGGTCCTACAGTTGAGGAAAGCAACGCAGTAATTGATACATTCATCTCGCCCGCGATAAACCCAATGTCATCAGACGGCTGAACGGCCTCCGCAGTGGTCAGGAGGTGCTCGTGCAGACGGGGAACACCTCCGCGTCCTCCTCTTCCTCCTCCGTACAGATCTGGGGTCTTATGCCATGTTTTTCAACAAACACTTTAAACATGGCACGTCCTCCGCGCGCACACACACAGACTATTAGGTAGCAAAAGCAACGACTTCAAATGTTTCTGACCATCTAGAAAAGTTATTCTGAAAGACCCTAATAGAAGGGACATGAGGTGAATTTTTAGACCATTTAGACCTAAGAGAACCGCCTTCATGTATGATTTTGAAGAGTCCACCGATCCCCTTGGGAAAAGAATCACATTCTTCCAGGAAGAGTATCAACAACGCCTATGAACAAGCACAGGAATGAACACTCCTTGACTTAAGCAGGGGAGACAAAGACACGGTTGTTTCGTCAGAAAACGCGAAGCCACACTTGTCTTATTTTAGAAAAAAAGGGTTGTTATAAAGTGGACCGGATGCTTATTTTCTGAAAAGCAGGGTTCTGTCTCCTCACGTGGGGATGACTCTGAAACCAGGGGGTGTGCTTGCGGCCGCCTCTACTTTCCCAGGGACGCTGACGTGTCTGACCTGCTCCGTGGGCAAATCCCTGCAGGACATCTCTGAATGTTCGCCGAGCGTGAGAGACCTGGGGATCCCGGGGACTGGCGACAGAGCTGAGAAAGTGCCCTCCTCCCATGCCCAAGGTGGTCACAGAGCCACTCAGAGCAAGGACAAAGGGGCCCCAGGGGTCCCCGGGAATGCTATTCCAGGGCTGCATCTGGAAGAGGCACAATGAAGCCATCTTTCTATGGCCTGAACGTTTCTAGACCTTACACACTTGTCCCCAGTGTCTACTAAAAATACGGAGGGCGTCAGTCTGCCAACATGCTCCCCTTGAACTTCGTCATTCTGACGAGGACGCCACACCCCACTGGCATGCGGAAGCCCCTCAGTGGGAGTGCAGGTCAGGGCTGCTCCAGCTGACCTCCAGGGTCCATGGGATTGGAGTCTTATCAAATTGTCAGTAGTTTTATTTTAAAAACTCATTTTAAAAGAAGAATTGCGTTATTAAAGTTCTCTATAAAAAAGTACAAAGAGCCCAGTATACCTAATTGTTCTACTGGAGTTAATTTCTTCCTTAAGGTTTAAAAAAAAGTCTTTGGAACGTGTGGGCCTTAGTGGAGGGGCACTGTAAGCTGTTTGATGTCTGAGTCTGACTTAAATGGTAATTAACTGACACCTGATCACGGATGAGAGGCACAGGGAACCCTCCCAAAGAGTTTATGACATTACAGAAGCAGCAGAACCGCGGTCCGCACCATGACGGCGGCTTCGTCCACGGATAACTCGGGCAGCCATTCCCAATTTTCTGTGCCTTCTAACGGCAGAAACATACAGCAGTCCCTGGGTGTGCGGCGTCAGCCCGCACGGGACATCACAGAAATGTCTACGGTGCGGCGACCAAGGAAAATGTTTTCAAAATACTCCCCAACACCCTTCGCGAAGTCAGTGTGCAGCCCGACCACCAGAGGGCCCCGTTCCTTCGCGAGCCCTGCCACGCCCTCGCTGCTCCCGGACCCCTCGGGGTCCCTGGCTCGGCGCCCACTGTCACGACCACCAGCCTTCGGTGTGCTCGGTGGGGGGACTCTCCTGCCCTTGCTGGGTTTCAAGAATCAGGAAACGGTGTGAACTGCACACATAACAGGCGACTTCCTAAGACCCAAGTGAGAAAACGACAGTCAGGTGGCGATGACTTTCTGAGGCTTTTAAAAACATAAGGCTCTCACTTTCCCCCTCTTCAGTACAGAAAACAAATCCCAGCAGAGAACAAACAAACAAACAAACAAAAAACAACAACAAAAAAACCACCCACCGAAGCCCCTCGGATTTCTCTTGCTAAGTGGAATCGGGTGGGACTGTGTCTGTGACTGCCCACCCTCCCCGGCAACGAGCCGGAGGAAGATGTTGGGGACCCACTGGCTTCCAGGGTAGGTGGATGGTGTCGGCTCAGCTGCTTCCGAGCAGGGCGGGGAAGGGGGCTCCTAGCAGCTGGCGAGGATGCTGCTGGCATTTTGCAGATGTTGTTTGGAGGAGGACCAGACCGTGTCCCTGGCAACAAACTCGCTCCCAGGGACCAGCAGGCGGTGACTTCCATCTGCACCAGCGACCTCCGAGGGCCCTGGAGGTGGCAACAGCTTCCTTCCCAAGGCACCCTCTCCTCCTCCGTCCTGGCTTCCCCTGCTGCCCGCCCCGCTCTCTCTCAGCTCCTCGCCCACCTCGGCCTCCGCAGACCTCGCTTCTCAGGGCACCGACGGGAGGGAGGCCCTGCTGGGGTGTACGCCCTCATTCCCCAGCAAGGCGCCCCGCTCTGCTAGGACCGTCGCTCCGACGGGTGCTCGACGGTCCAGGGCTGGCTCGCACAGTCTTGGTCTTTCATTCTCTTTCAACCAAGCATCTCAGGTCTTCTAGGGAGCTCTTCACCTTCAGATTTCCTACCAAAATCCCTCGGAAGACAAGACAGTGATTCTGCATGAACTTGTACCAGGTCCCGGGGATAAAGGAGAACCAGCCGTGTCTGTGCGCAATCATTTCGGTCCCTGGGCTCTCACATCAACCTGTGCAGTCAGTTCTCGCCATGAGCCTCTGAGGGCGGCACTCCAGGTCCTTCCATCCAAACCGAACACCTGGTGGCTCTAGACGAGGTGCCGAGAGAAGGGCCACCAGCCTGCCGGCTGCAGCCTCAGGGCGAGGTCCACGGCCTGGCAGCAGCCACCTTCCAAGAAAGGAACACAGGGCAGTTGGATGGCGTTTCGGAGTCACGCACCAACGTGTCCCCTGGAGGCGCAGATGGTGCTAGATTCTGCCTGTTGGACCTCCCTGGTGATTGGGGCCGTGCCTGCGGCTGGAACTTCCTCGAGCCCCCCAGTCGCCCGACCCCGTACGGCGTCCCCCTCATCCCAGCCTCCACAGGGCTGCGGCGCTGGACACTGCTGCCCGCCCTGTGGTTCTCTCTGCACGATGCCCAGAGTGGAGCAGTGCCGCAGAATTTCACGCGTGTTGTGGCTGAGTGTTAACGGTCACCCGCATGCCTCCTTCTCTCAGCAGTGACTATCTGGGCTGCCCAAACCTTCCCAGCACAAGCCTTTGTCTAAATGCAGCACACAGCCCCGTGCAAACAGGCTCGGCCACGGTGAGGCTTCACTGTTTGTCCTCAGGCCACTGTGCCCCGGCCCCCAGGCAGGGCACTTTCTTTGAAAACTGTCACGTGTTTGGAAAGAATACAAGCCCGCTGAGATGCCAGTGTGTTTCCTAGGAAATCGGAACCATTTGGAAATGTGCAGGCTGTTTCCTGGAAATCTGGAGCCTGCCGCTGGCTAACGCAGGCAGGTGCGTGGGCTCAGGGACAAGGGGTCCCCAACATCATGCTTTTCCAGGACCTTCCTCCTCTTCGGGGGCTCGGCTGGGACCCGTGCTGCCGTGGCTCTGTTCCGGGCGTGGTGACTGGCTCTTCTGTTTCTTAGGCTCTTTCTATAAACTGGTCCCTCTTCTCCCAGATCGAATTGAGGTGCGCCCGGCGAGGACGTGTCCCCAGGACGTGCGCGGGCCAGCAGGACCGCAGCGCGAGGCCTCTGGAGCTCTGGTCCACAGCCCGTCAAACACGGCAGAGAAGCTGCTCCTTCCGGCCCTGACCTGCTCCCTCCGCAGGCTGCCCGGGGCGGCAGGACTCTGGCCGCGAAGCCCCCTCCGTGCTCGTGTGTTCCGTGGACTGCAGGCAAACGGCCAGAACGTCGAGGAGGCACTTAGCGGGGAGACGCTCCCGGGGAGCAGGGAGGAACAGAGCAGCCCTCGGCAGGGACTGAAGCCGCTTCTGCCTGGAACGTTCTTTCTGTGGCAGAAGCCTGGCCTCTCGGAGGACCTTCCGCGGGTGGTGTCTTACCACGGAAGGGCTCCTCAGCTTGGTCCAGCGACAGCTGGGAGGAATCCTGCAGCCTCTGCAAGGAGCCCGCTGAGAGCCCCAGGGAACAGGTGTCGTGAGTGCGCGCAGGAGGAGCGGGTCCTGCCAGGGGACAGCGTGTGGCCGTGCATCCACGCACACCCTCAGCAAGGGCACCGCCCTGTCCGCCTGCCCCGAGTCACTAACGGTAACGAGGCTCAAAGGAAGAACACAACTAAGTCCAGCCCGGGGGCTGTGATCACACCACATCTGCTCACGCCAGTCACACTGGAGTCAAATACCCCCCTGTCCCTGGGGGAAGTGTGGCGCAGGGACCGGAACAGAAGGCGCGTGAAGAAGCGAAGAGTCTCATCTTTAAATAATCCCCGAAAGCTTTTGTTTGCAGGTAGAATCAAATACACATATACATATATATGTATATACACACACATATATGTATATATATATGCCTAATTAATCATGTAAAGTAGCCATTCATTTCTGAAATTAGATCTATGTTAAAAAATTAATATGTCCCATACAGTGCCAATGCGCAGGACAGACACGGCGTGGGGGTGGGGGAGGGGCAGCAGGGCAGCAAAGAATTCAACTAAAACTTAATCAAAGAAGATTAGAAACAAGAGCCTTCACGAACATAGCACAATTGTGTCTTATAAAATTATTATAATACTCTCTTTATACTTGATACGATTATATCAATAATATAGATTCACTTGTCATTAAGGTTTATTAGAAACATGCAAAATTCATTGCATGATGCATCTGCAAAACAAATGAAAATCCTTCTTGCAATAAAACATCTTTGGGCTGATAGGTATCCAGGCTTCCTGATTCTACAGCTCCAGGGGGGTCATTCGACACGAACTGAAAGTGGAGACCAAACCGTATTGTTTTTCATCCTTAAGGGGATGTCGAGGGCCAGGGCCGGGGGACTCAGAACTCTACGTTACTGTACATTGTACTGTCATGAACGACACCGCAGCCTACTCAATAAATAAGTACAAAAGGGGATGGGGCATACACTTCAGCTTCTTAGGAAGTAACAAAACATCGGTGTGTGGGGAGGTTGGCTAAGAACACTGGTGAGGACTGGCATTGCCGATGGCACCCTGGATCGCAGAATAATCTCCCAGAGCCCGAAACGGACTCTCACACACACTGGCTTGTCCTTGATCGGAAATGACGTCACATGCTCATTTAGCAAAGTCCTTAGAAGGTTTGGCCTCTTACAAAGAAATGCACGTCTCAAGACAGGAATCAACCATGTAGGGTACAAGATGGCAGATTCACCGAACACTCATCGGAGGTTTTCTTTCTCTTTTTTTAAACACACAAAAAAACTGGTAACCGCCAGACCACAACTAGGTTATGACTGTCAATGTCTGGGACCAGTGAGCTTGCAAATGACATCCCGGCCGCTCGGATTCTAGCGACTGTTTCCATGGAGGCGGAGAGCAGCCGCGGCAGGTGTTCTGAAGCCTCCCCACCCCCAACCCCACCTGGCTCCCTCTCTGCTCTCTGGGCTCCTGGTTCTCTCATTCCAAAGGCGCCTGGGTGGAGCCGTGTCCAGCCCACATCTCTGATGGGGGTGGGGTGGGAGGGGCATCCTGATGGTGCAACCCGACAGACAGAGGACATGGGAAATAATATCAAATCGTACCAAAAAAGGGGCAAGAGTCTGTTTGCTTTCTAGAACAGGTTAACCTACAGCCAGAGGTGACCTCTACGTAATTAAACCGGACATTGAACATTGCATCATCTCCACTAAGATAATGTTCTTGGTTGTAAGAGAGACCCTGAACCGCTGGTCACATTTGGACTAATAACTGTACGATTTTCAGGCCTTGATCTGGAACGAGGAACAAGGCCGTGCATGGCCTTGAAATTTTAGGGTTAAGGATCATTTCCCACTGTTGGGGGGGAGGGGCGGGGGCGGGGCAGGCATCTGTTCTCCTTGGTGGGTTTCATACTGCGCTTTGTAAGATGGGGTGCACGAACTGGGGGTTGACATACGAGAACCCTTCGAAATCAGACTGGTCTATGTTAGCAATGACCAGCTGATCCGGAGGCGTTAAGACCGGTTGCCCTCGTGTGAAGAACTTGTCGAAGTTTTCCGCTCCTTTGCCACACTGCGGAGAGAAAAGAAAGGAAAGGTCAGTGTTAGGAAGCAGGCGGCGCCTTCCCGGAGCGCCCTGCGGGGAGGAGGGCCGGGGAGCCGGCTGGTTAGGCGGGCGAGTCTGGAGGCCACTGCATGGAAAGCCAGGCGCAGCACACAGAACGGAGACCCACCGGGCTGTGCACCTTCCTACCCCCCTCCCGAGGGGAAACCCTCAGTGGAGATGCACCGCGGACAGTCAGGCGACACGCGAACAGCTTCGTCTATGTCCACCTTGCAGAGTGAGTAGGGCTTGCGCGTGGATGCCGCACACACGGGGCCACCAGGCACGTCCCGCGTTGGAAGGCCGGGATGCCGCGCGGGAATGTGGGCAGCTCCCCCAGACCGAGAGCTTGAGGTCACCGTTCCACATCTGGTTCTGCACCATCGTTATTTGTGTAAGGCAAAAGCTGTGGTTTTTGTGTTCTAACTGGGATGTTCTAAAAAGCTCAGCCCCTGAAGTCACCTTTAACCACCACTGGGTGTGACACCGAGGTTGGGACATTTCAGCTGGGCTTGAGCATGTCTACATCAGATCTCATCCACCAGCACACAGGTCGACATGAGGGTGGTCTGAGGCTGGAGGCCTGCCCTGGCGCCCGAAGGAGGCCGAGAGCAGCTGCGGGCTGTCCCGGCGGTCCCTCTCTGCCAGGTCGCACGGCGCTCCGGGCGGACAGCGCTCCAGGCAGCTGCCGCAGAGGCCAGAGACGCGGTGGCTGCGGCGTGCTGAAGTCCCCAGGGTGCCAGCACACAGAACGGAGACCCACCGGGCTGTGCACCTTCCTACGCCCCCTCTGTGGCTCTCACACAGGGGTGTTGGGAGGTGCACGGCGGGTGACAGAGCCACGATACTCCACACTCGGCAAATGACCGCCTTTTACCCGCGGCCACAGGGCAAGGGAACGAACTCTCAGCTAGCAGACGTTCGAACCAACCAGGCACCTTGGATCGCTAACAAGATGGCTCCAGGTGAACTGTGACGGGCCCTCCCGTTCCCTCCGCTGTGAGATGGGGAATTGCGAGCCCCTGGCCAGGCTGCCATGAAGGTTCGATGTGGTTCGCACGCGACCTGGCCTGTGGTGAGCGCGCCCCGTGGGCGACCCTTTCTCACCCCCCTTCCATCCCCCCAGCTTCCAGAATGAGTCCTGGAGAACCTACTCTCACGACGCCTTCCCCACCGTCCCACCATCCACAAAACCTGCTCCCAGGTACCCAAGGTGGCGAAGGCAGGTCATAAACGCACAGTCAGGTCTTCCTAAGGGACAGCTTTCCTTTCTGGGTCGTTTTCATTTTCCAAGTGCCCCGTGCTCTCAGCCGGAGGGAGCTCAGACTGGGACGGGTGGGTGGAACTGCGGGGCATGTGTGTGGGGGCAGAGGGGTGGTGGGTGGGAGACACGGGCAGGGGGAGCTGTCCCGGCCCCTGCAGCCCACAGAGGCCCCGCTGACCACCAGTCACTCTCACGCCGGCCCGCCTCCCGCACGGCCGGCAGAGGCTTCCCTCCACGCCCTGTTTCCGTGGTGCTTTTCCTCGGAAGAGCGGCACCGCCGTGGCACAGGTCGGCGACGCGGAGTGAGCCCCCCCACGCTCAGGCCACTCTGACCGTCCACAGGCCCCTCAGGAACAGGGCACACTGTTTCTTCCGGGAGCCGATCGGGGATCTGCACTCGACCCATCTGTCGATCGACCGACCCGATCGACCGACCGACCGGCCGCAGGACCCACCTGGCCCGGGGCACTGCATTCAGACACTGTTGCCGATGACGGCGAGAGAAACAGCCGTCCTCTGGATGTACCAGTGGTTCTCAACCGGGGACAATTCCGCACCCCACCCCCTCTTCTGGGGACACTGGCAACATCTGAGTTCGTTTCTGGGTGTCATGACTTGGGCAGGGAGTGTTACTGGCATCCAGTGGGCAGAGCTCAGGGCTGCTGTTACCCGTCAGTGCACAGGGCACCCCCCCCAAGGACTGTTGGTCCAACCTCTCAGCAGGGCTGCTGTTGAGAAACCCGGGATACACCGAGGCAGTAACGCCAGGCTGTCGGTCCCGAGGTCCGACCAGGGAGTCAGGCTAGAACGGTCGTCGGGAGGGCAGAGCGCAGGAGGTGCAGAACCCGAGGCGGGGCTGTTCCAAGGAGAACGTCCTCTGGGCACCCGACTAATCCACCCCATTCGAGCGAACCCACTGTGGGAGCTCCCAGGGGCGCGCCAGATGCTCCCTTAAAGAACCGTTTGCATCTCTCTCGCTGTTCACTAACCACGCAAAGAAGAAGAAGAAGGAACGTCTGGAAAAATGGAAAAGAAGGTGAAGTCTCTCGAAGAAGGGAGGCAAGCCGAGGCAGATGCCCCTCCCCGGGCTGGAGAGCTCTCTGTCCGCTCTCGATCTGTGTGGAAGGCTGCACACGCCCGACCTTTCCTTTGAGCACCCTCTGTCTTTGCTGTTGTTAATCCTCCCTCAAGGGCTTGTAGATAGAGTGGAAGGGAAGGAGGGGGAGAGAGAGACAGCCATGTGGGAGAGGCACATGGATTGGCTGCCTCCTGCACACCCCGAGCGGGACCAGGGATCAAACCCACAACCCAGGTACGTGCCCTTGCCTGGGAATCAAACCTACGACCTTTCGGTCCTCAGGCTGACACTCCAACCACTGAGCCCAACCGGCCAGGGCTGAGTACCCTCTCGATGGTATCCACGAAGCCTCTTCCACAGGGAAGTTCCAAAGCCATGGCTTAACTGCCACGGAAAAGTAAAAACAAACAAACAAAAAACAACTAAAAGGAGCGTTCCTAAGATCTAAAAAGTGGCCCACATAATGTCAACACCGGGAAGCCTGGGGGCGGGGACAGATGGTCACTCCTGAGGCTGGAAAGCCGGGTGCTGTCACACCCGGGCAGAACCCCCTGCCCACGGCCTCCCCCGGCCTGCTGCTGACCACACAGGCAAGGGGATGTCACCACAAAGCTCTCCCTCTTCTCTCCAGTTCTGAATCTTGCTGGAATTTCCCTGATCCCAAAGAGAGAAATCACATGTTGGCAAATGCAAGTCTTCTGAAACCTGTTCACTCAGGAAGGGAGACCTGAGGCAGGGCAGGCTGAGGGCAAAGGTGAAGCACGGAGTCTCTGGCTGTGTCCTGGCCAGCCACGGGAGAAGCCACGGAGAAGCCACGGGAGAAGCCACGGGGGAAAAGCCCAGGAAGAGCTGGGGGCATCAGACGAGATCCAGGACACAGAAGGAATTGTCCCCAGGGAAATCACACCAGAAAGACACCACTTTCCCCCACAAGGGGCTGGGCGGGACGAGCGCAGCTATTTTAACCAGAGGTGCGGTACTAGGGGAGGCGTGGAGGGTCTCTTAATGCCCGAGAGATCAGCCCTCCACAACCCTCAGTGAGATTAGGCCTCGACACGATCTCCTTGAAGTCCAATTGGAGCAGATCTCGAGCTGCCTGTTTTCCAGGTGAGGGAACAGTGACTGTTACCGCGTCCATCACGACCTACTGAAGGCTCATGAGCGTCAGTGCTCCTTGGGGGGAGACAAGCCATGGCTCCAGTAAGCTGCTGCATCTGTAGGTAGAAAGGACTCTCCCCACCACTCACAACCATCGCGTGTGGGCAGTGGGCCCAGGCACCATCTTGGATCTGAGGGAGAAAGGAGGCCCAGAGACAGAAGGGGTCAGGGCCACTAGGCGGTACCTGTGAATGCACGAGTCAACGAGTCAACGAGTGGAGACACGAGTGGACGACAAGGCTGGCCAGACTGCGGACACCCTCCCGACACTCCTCAGGGACAAAGTGGGAACCATGGCCACGTCTGTGACAAAGGGCAGGTCTGGGTTGCCCACGGCCTCGGAGTCTGGGCCGCAATGCTGAAGGCGGCAAATGCGAAGCCCCTTGGCTGGGCACGGCCGCCAGCCCTGCAGGCCTCCCGTACCTCGCACCAGCGGGAGCGAGTGGCGTCTGGGCTGCGATGCACCACACGACTGATGCGGGACAAGGGCGGAGGGGAGGAGGGCGGCGGGTGGCCCACACCTCACTGGGCAGCGTGAGCCCAGACCAGACGACGTCTGTGTTCACAGGGCCACGCCGGACGCCCAAGGAAAGGGGGCGGTACAGTGGGCGAAGAGCCTGACCAGAGTCCCACAGCGTAGGGCACAGGCACAGGTACCTTTAAAGGCAAGACGAGGACGTGAAGATCCACCGTCCAAGCCTGTTGTGAGAACGAAAGGAGCTACCGTGCCTGTCACCCTTCCTAAGTGACCAGGGTGACCCTGACCTCAGGTTCCGCATGGGCAGCAGGCGCCCGGCTGTGAAAGGTGTGATCACTATGGGGGCATGAGCGAGCGCCACGGGTGACCACCCCCTTCCTCAGCTCTGGATCCAGACGTAAGTCCTCTGTTCTGACACTCCCACCCACTTGGTAAAGATCACCAGCCAATCAAATGGGCCCAGGAGCTACCAGGCACGGTGACGAGGTGCCAGAGCCCAGAAACGTGACTCTGGGTGGCGTCTGGTATTACGATGCCCCCCACCCAGTGCCCCGCGTGCACACGGTCCTCTCTCCACCCTCTGCGCTCCGGTAACAGGCCGCGGAGCTGGCTTCTCGTCTCTGATTCTTACCTGGGAGGGGCCACCAGGATGGACCACACATGTGTTGGTCTCAATCCTGTCCTGTACCTCAGTCTCAGCCACGGAGGACATAACCCACGGTCGCTGGCATGGGAATTAGGGGGAGTGTGAGTAGCATGAAAACAACGCCATCACCAAGCAAATCCACACCAAACCCAGGAGCGCAGGAAGAACACGCAACCAACCAAGAGGACAGGTGCGTAGCAGCGGGAGGAGAAGGACGTGTCAGGGGGGAACAGCTCCGCCGATGACCCGAGGCAGCAGGATACGCGTCGCCTCAGGGTACCCGTTACCCGTGTTCCGAGTCCGGGAGCCCTGTGCCGTGGTCCCAGTGCAGTGTGTTAGTGAGAAC